ACTGCACCATTGTGCGCGAAACCCCAAGGCAGTCTGCTCCAGAACCTCTCTAAACTACGTGCTTTTATACTACTGGGATCTTGACTTTACAACACATCTATTACTACACCTCGGAAAGCACTCCGTCCCGGCGTGGAGCCGCGGGACGATCTTAGGGAATCCTCTGACTCCTATTGGCCACGCACCGGCTCTATGAGTCAGAGCTCTCCTTGGTACTCGATCGGTTTGAGAGTTATTGGTTAATCGAACGGAAGCTTCCGAGCTGGTGTCTTCTTCGTCTAGTGCTCGTCCCGAGCGTCAGTCTTCATCGTCTATGATATGGCTACCTGTGGACACCTTCCCCGTGTCTGTAGCTAGTCTGGTTGTTGTGATAGACCAAAGTTCCACTTGTCTCGGTAAGTGCCGGTGCCATCGCGATTTGATGTTTAACCGGCACAGCTATTCTGATGCGTAGGCACGCTCGGCCGTCGGCAACTCACTTCGTCTGTGTCTATTTACAGAAGTCTCGCCCCATCCAAGGGTCTGGACCCATCATGTGACTTGTTGCGCTGTTCTCGATAAGAGACACAATGGTAAACAATCTCGAAGTCGGCCGCTTTGGAAGGCCCCAGTCGCCTGCATGCAATGTCATGTATTCCTTCCCATCTCCTTGATACTAGTCTAGCACTCAGCTCATCTGCACGCACACGGGTACTGATATAAGGTAGTTAGTCCTGTTCTTGGTAAGTCGTACTTTGGCCCCAAGTCGAGGTACCGCCATAAGATCATGCAATAGAGAACCTAAGCTATGTGACTGTTAAGCTACTCGTTCGGAGCTCCCGATAGCCTCTTATAGAATAGAGAGAGCGTGCTTTATAAGTATAAAGACGCGAAATGCGAAAATACACCTGTGGTTTGTACACGGCTTATCATCGGTACAAGAGGAAAGTCACAAATCATATTGGTATCTATGTTACAGTATTCGGTGAGCTATTTCGTATAAAGAGAACATTATTCTGCGTAGCCGATGGCGAGTAAGAACTAGGCCAGTTTCCTGGTTGCAGCTGCGCTTTCCGGATCCTCAACGTCTGTTATCGCACGCTTGTTGGAGGCAGGGACACAGAGAAACTCCTCCAAACTTAGCAGCTGCGCTCTGTCATGCTCGGGCATGATTCTTTTCCCCCGTCCGACCCCCTTTGGCCAGTGGACTTCGAGGTTGAGATTTCTAGGGTAAAATCTCTCCCCCTTACCACTCCAGTCGTATTCAATAACAAGGAGCCCGCCGTCACCGCCAATGAGGATGTTGGGCAGACGTAGATCGCCGAAAACATACCCATCTCGGTGCATCTCTGCGACGACGTTCTGCAGCTGCTGAAATGCTTCTGGGAGCACTTTGAATCGGTTTTCTTGGTCGATGTATTGCATGATTATTACATGCAAACCCCCGACCGAAGATTCCTTTGACCAGTACAAAAGTTTTGGGGCTGCAAGTTTCTCGGCCATCCTCCGGTGTAACTCCACCGAATAAGAAGTTGCAAATTTTACAACACATTGAATGGGGTTCCCTCCATTGTTGGGGGTGCAGATGGCCAGATAGACGGTGCGGTTCAGGCTATTGCGCCTGTTCACGAAACGCTTGGTGTAAGATATGGTATAGGTGATATTCTCCGACGAGATGAATTTGGAAAAATGTGGTGCGGGGCCCATCAGACAGGGTATAGGCTCCTCTGATGGTGGTTCCAGTTCTGCATAGTATTCCACGAGCGCATCAATGGCCTGGGTGAGGGCTCGAAAGATACGTGCAACACAAGCGTGGTGGTAGTCCTCTGGAGAGACCCAGGGAGAGTTATAGGGCAGAGCAGTGGGAACGAGCCCAACGAGTGATGTGTAGTTGAGGAGTCGCTGGGAGACAACTACTCCTCTGATGGTTATTAACCCTGTGACTGCCATTTCAGACCCAACTGTTGATATAAGGAGCGAGGGCATGGCAGAGACTTTTCTGGCATCAGATAACTGTGAGAGAATTCAGTTAATAGTCGAACAAATGATGGAATAGTACACTGACATCCTCAATCCATTACCGCCAGCTGATAATCTTTTTCACCTTGGTGAGTAGGATCACAGCCTCCGGAACCCATCCCTCTTTTATCCTCAAGGAAGCCGACTGGGGCTAAGGGAGCACGGGCAAATTTTAGCAGCCTTGCATGTTGGGATCTGTCTGGCAGGACTTTTTTCCCGCATGAGGTATAGTGTAATACGGGCGAAGGCGTCGGAGAGTAGTTTTTGTAGAGATTTGCCGAGAACGTCCGCCCGCCCATCCTCAACCATGAATTCTCTACTTTTCATGCAGAAATTGTCGACCTCGGCAAGTATCTGCTCGTTCAATCCAAGAGAAGCTAGGTCGACAGTGAGGTCGGCGAGGAATTGGGAGAAGACTGGATGATAGATGGTTATCGGGGGACCAACTAATTCTGCGGGAAGCCCGTTGAACACCGCGCGTACATCGGAGCGCGTTTGCGTTAGCTGCATGGCCTTAAATTGGGCGGCTGTCGACGGAACCGCCAGATTTTCTCGGACCTGCTCTGACTCGACGCCTGTGGAGTTCGCGAATGTATCAGGTGACTTTCGAAGCTTACGAAAAATAACATACTACTGGCATCCGAGGTGAGCTTTTTGGGATCGTTTATGGGGGATGCCGCCTCCGATTCGTCTTCTATGACCTGCTATGAAGTGCATTGTTTAAACATGCCTTTTAAATGAACAGAGAACCTACTTATGCCGATGACGACCACCCATTTTCCCTCACTCACAATGCCCAATCCAGATACGGCGGCTGCGTTCAAGCAAAAGTCGGCCATAGTCGCCAGCTCCATCGAGGCTCGTGAACGGTATCATGATTTGACTGTGTTTCAACACAAGCGGCTTCCTCATCAGATACATCGTCGCTGTCGAGCAAGGGAGACTTGAAGTGCACTCCCCTATGACATCACCAACGGTCATGTCTGGACGAAGCGTCAAGTACATGGGGGTTCCTTGGCTGCTGTCCAAAGTCATACACTAAGATTGGGACGGACGGATATTTGAGCCTTTTGGTTTGTACTTTGCTCTTGCCTTTTTTGGGACTTTTGGGTCTCGAGCTGACGCTCGTTTGCTGTCTGGTAAGGGCGAGACGACCCGCCGTGGATGTGGTAGGACGATCGGCACTGGGTTGGATGGCGACGGCAAGACGACCCGCCGTGGATGTGGTAGGACGATCGGCGCTGGGTTGGATGGTAAGGGCGAGACGAGACAGTCGATCTGGTGCGGGAACTAGGACCTGAATCAGCGGTACTGGGGCGCCCTCTGTCTTCACTTGGGCCCGGGGCGGCTGTTTTTTTACGACGTGTTTGGTTCGACATCCAGGTAGCAGCAAAGTGCCGTGTAGAGGGTTATGGCCGGAAATAAGGCTCAGAGACGAAACTACTAGGTGGCAAGGGCAGAGACAAAACTGCTGGGTGATAAGCCACCGTGCAGAGGTGTGTGTTTGCAACGAACTCCATAGAACATCTGTTTCAAAGTTCTCGGCCCGATACCACGTGATTGCGATCAGTTTTCCGAGATCTGCACTCGTTTCTACTAAGTGCCTCCGCGCGCACTATCTGTATGTCCGCACGCGTTTCTGAGTGCCCCCGACACAACCCATGTTTTTTTTGGTTCGTCGCCGTACTCGTGAATAATAAAATTAATAAAAATAAAATCGAAAACAAAAATGGCCGCAGGTGGGAGTTGAACCCATTCCCTTCTCGAAAACTCGAAAATCGACTCCACACAGCGAGAATGTGCACCGTACACTACTGCAGCTTTCTTATCCTCAAGCCGCTGCTCGATAAGATCGGTCGATCTTTAGCGCTTGTCTTATTTTGCGCCCAGATGGCGGCAACGTGTAGTCTCACGGTATCTTTCTATTCTGCAATGTTGCGCATTTTGCCCTCATGGGCGGTGGTTCCTCCTTCCAAGCACGAGGGCGCTGACAAAACTGATGCCGCTGATATCAATGAAGACGAGGGGAGTGTATGCAGCGGCTGCTCTGACTGCAAGCGCTGGTGAAGACTGGGAGGGTGATTGGTTCATGACGCGCTGGGGGTTCATGACCATGTCGCGGTGAGCAGCATATTTATTCTCATTTGAATGGTCCCATATTGAATGATACACAGTGCACGAATAGCCCAGGAAGCTGCGATGGCCAACGTAGACCCCGCCGATCGCCCGGTCTACTGGGAGGTGACAACTTTCTCTCAAATACTCAAGATCCTCCCGCTCTGCAAAGGGTTTGAGGGCGTATTCGAGCGAAACAAAGAAGGAAAATTTGAACAGGTTAAAAAAATCTTTTTTGTGGCGGAGGGTTGTGGTCCATACTATGATGACCCGTACGCTTTTTTTCTCTTTTTTGCCCTTAAATTCTGAGTGCAGATTCGGCATTACAGATGGGAAGCCTTTCACCTCTACAAAAGTGGTCGCCACATCGAAGCTGGCATTTTTGCAACCCCTTTCGAGAGTGTTGCGAAAGAATATGAGAAGAAACACCTACGGTACTGATCCACGACAACACCGCGAACCTGAGTCTAGTTTGTACATGCTTTTTTTTGGGTCGTAGCCTCTCAAAATGATATATATTCGGTGAATTGCCTTGAGCAGCGGGATTCGAACCAGAAATAGCTGCGAGCAGACACAGCCAGAAATTCCTGCGTATCAAAAGGGTAGTTGGCGAGGGCAGAAATGGCTGCACGCTCGCCGCTAGAAATACCTGCGTGTCGAAGAGGAGCTGGTGTGGGTGGAAATGGCGGCGCGCGCACACACAAATAGCTGCGCGTCAGAAAAGGAGTGGGCGCGGGTATTTCTGGCTGCGAGAAGGGGCGCCAGAAATTCCTGCGCAACAGATAATCAGCCGGCGCAGGCAGAAATGCCTGTGCATTAAAAAGTGCGGTTTTGTAGCGCTGGAGAGAAAAGATCAGAATCAAAAAATCAACGCCATAATAGAGGAACGGCTCAAGCGGGAATTGAACCCACTCCTTTCTCGGAATGGAAAAGACATCAAGTACATTTCCTGAGGATGTGCACCTACACCATTGAGCCATATTTAAAGTGGAAACATGGTGCATTATACCCTTCCACTGTGCCTCCAGTAAGAATTTCATTTCGGTCCAAGACAACAGTGGACAGAAAATAATGCGCGAAAATCATTCATTTGGGACAACAGCAAACAGAAAATATGGGTACAAAGAAACACGTGCGGGAGATGGTACGCGGGAGAGAAGGCAGAAACGCACGCAGGAAATGGTGCGCGTGGGGGCATGCAGAAATGTGTGCAAACAGTGAAGGCACGCAGAAAACAGTGCACGAGATGGTGCGCGCGGGGGCACGAAGAAACACGTGCGGGAGATGGTGCGCGCGGGGACAGGCAGAAACGCGTGCGCGACCAGCAACGACCGCGCGGTCGCAGGCAGAAATGCCTTTCAAAGTAAGTCGGTGCAGGAATTCCTGGCCTGCGAGTAAAGCGAAACCGGCAGAGAAATTTCTGACTGCAAGAAGAGCACAGGAATCGATAGCTGGGAATGCAGGAATAGCGGTAACTGTTATCTGAATTCTTCAATCTTGTCCCAGTGGTGGCTGTGCCATACCCTTCGAAGCAAAGTATGACTAAGCCTTCTCTCCTTCTTGCTACTTGGTGTGCTTGTTACCTCGCAGCTCCCCAGCTTGTGTGCTGTCGCCTTGCCATATTGCCACTGCCCGCATCACTTGCTTTGAATCTGCTTGGTGCTCGTTACCTCGCAGGCACTATTGCTGTCGCTGCTTGGTGCTTGTTACCTCACAGCGCTCGTGAGTCAGTTCGCTCTGATTAGTTTGCGCGCAGCGCCTCGGGCGATGGTGTCCATAGGAGGGCCATTACCCGGTCTCTGCAAAGGGTACACACCTTATGGTCTTTTCGCTGCCAGCGGTCCCTGGCTGCACCGCATGTCCCAAGACCCCGACATCACTCACCAGAAGGAACGACTCGTAGAGATCCTTCAGGCTGCATGGGTCATTGGGAATGACACGTCTGACCCCAAATCGCTGGCCGCTGTCTTCGTCCAGAGGATACTGGCACTTGCTACTGTGCCGACGCTCAACGCACCGAACCCTGGAGTCGATTTTATTAACAGCAATTCGTTGCAGGCCTTCCTCAAACTTCCGGGCGTCCATGGAAACCCCCATATTAACGTCAAGGGCATTCGAGACGCGCTCCGGGACGTCATGCTTCCGCTGCGCGTCTTCGACGCGCTCCTGCACGTGCTCGATCGGAGAGCAGAACCAGACGTGTTAATGAGCATCGCGACAGAATGCTATGCACCTGAAGTCCCGCCCTCTCCGCCAAAACATCCAATCGGATCAACCCTGCGCATGGTACGTGCCATTCCTCGTTCCACTTTTGTCTGACCCCGCTCGCAGCATCTTGGACAGCTCGAGGACTGGCTCAAGCACCTCAAGGCGGCCGACCGCGAATGGAGCAACTGCAAATTCAGAGCCCAACAGGCTGCTGATGCACGCTCCGCCACCGAAGGCATAATAGCCGCCGAGCCGGAGAAGCACGCATACATTCAGAAGCTCAGTGGGATCAATGCCAGCGCATCCGGCTCATGGGCGAAGACCAACATGATGCACGCTGGGTTCGTCCTCGGGGCGTATCCTTCAAGAAAGAGCAGATCCAAAATGTGTGTCCGAGGCCTAACATTTCAGCGATCTTCGCGCCACTGATGGTTGCTATATATGGGACCCCGCTCGCGCTCCTGTCCGAGATCAATTACGGGCGAGCCGGTACCTATGCCTCTGGAACGACACCGTGGGATGTGAGTCTTCTTCCTAACCTTTTCTTCCCGGGCACTCATTGATTACTGCCTTTGTAGCTCTGGGTCGCAGCGGGGAACCGGCACCACCGTCGGCCCCATGCAATGGCCCTCATCGAACGGGAGATGTGGCTACGGTTGCTCGACATCGCGATGGGTCGTAAGAGCCCAGAAGAGGCAATAGACACATTTTTCGCGTCCTCGACGGCCATCCAGTACCTTCGCCCGGCCCTGGAGCTCGACGAGGAGTCCAAGAAAGGCCTCTGTGAGTTTTCATGCGCTCTCCCAAGGTCCCTATCCTTACAGCGTTCTCTCAGTCTACCCAGAAAACCCCCACCCGCCACCAACCAATGACGTGCAGGCGCTTCAAACGTCCGCCCTCGCGCACGTCCTCGCGAACGCCCCGGAGGCTTTCGATGATGATGATGATGTGATCATGCTTCCCGAGGCGGAGGTTCACGACGTGGTGTGGAAGGCGCAGAGGGAGAAGGAGAAGGAGCAGGAAGCGGCGCGCAAGGAGAAGGCGCAGAAGGAGAAGGAGCAGGAAGCGGCGCGCAAGGCGAAGGCGCAGAAGGAGAAGGAGCAGGAAGCGGCACGCAAGCAGAAGGCGCAGCAGGAGAAGGAGCAGGAGAAGGCGCGCAAGCAGAAGGCGCAGCAGGAGAAGGAGCAGGAAAAGGCGCACAAAGTCGCCCTCACCGTGCCCTACCCTTTTGCCACAGTAGCGAGTCCTCCGCCGCCGCCTCTCTCTGAAGCTCTCAGATTAGCTCAGCGCCGGCATGACGGCTGGACGGTAGACCTGGATGCAAAACGCCCGGTGAGTATCAGTGTGTCGGGGTTGTTGGTGTGCTGACGGCTTATCTCTCAGCGGCTGGAGGGTGTCACCCTTACCTACAGCAAACCCCGTATTGCGGAGAGCACTCGCAATGATTTAAACGAGGGGACACTCATTTACACACCCTACGCCTCATTTGTACGTTCGCCACCAGCGCGCTGCTGCCATGTCTTACCGTGCTCTCCGCCCCTAGCCCAACGACCCGAAAATGTTCAAAGAGATGCAGAGGTCTCAGCTCCGACACGAAGGAGTCCTGCTCATTGACCACGCGAACGCCCGCAACGACAATGTCAATATCAAGCCAAGCGACACGCAGAGCGGTATTCATGTCACTTCGCAGGAGAAATTCCTGAAAAAGGATGACAGGTGGCAACGCGACATCCACCGCTACCGCTGCGTCCTCATCCTCAACACCGATGACAATTTCCCTTACGCGAAGTTCGATATGGATACACTGGCTGGGTTTCGAGATCCGTACGCACTCATGGACATCCAAGGTCCTCGTTTCCGTTCTGTTTACGCCTACGCCACTCACTCTCACAGCAGACCCAGGTGCCAACGTGCTGCAGGTAGAGCACAACGATGAGGAGGAGCAGAGCTCTGAAGATGAGGGCGAGGTTGAGCAGGGGAGTGGCAATAGGCGCAAGAGGCGCAATGCGCATTCCATCCTCAAACCCAGAAAGAGGCGCAGAGAGGACCCGTTGCCCGAAGACCCGTTCCCGGAGATACGAGTCGGGACCGTGCTGGACGTGCTGGAGGCATCTCGTCGGCGCGAGAAAGACCCCGACGCACCGGTGCTCAACGCCATTCACCATCCTTTCCCTAATCGCACGGTCCCATCACCTCCCGGCTGGCAGTGAGTGCGTTCTCATTTCACATGAGCCATGCTCATCATGTCCTCCAGAAACTTTGCATCGCACGAGCGCGCCATGACACATCTCCAGGGAAGCGAGACCTTGCCCGCGGCCGACATGCCCTGGCGAGATCTAGTCTGGGGCCTCATTGGCAACAAGTTCGCAAAGTCTGCCATACACCAGGACACCTGTGCAACCCAGTTCGAGGTCGTCGTCGGGTCCAAGTTGATGGCCTTGGGGTTCTTGCGCGATGCATCCAAGGGGCGGGGCCCCGGCGAATGGGGCTCCAGGCATGCGCTCGACGACTGGGACTCCCGCTCCTCCAACATCCACATCTGCAGGTGGGAGTTTTTCTGCTTGGACAAGAAAATGATCCTGTAAGTCTCACCTCTCGCTTGTCATTGCGCGCTCACCCATCTGCAGGTATATGGGGGCGTCGACGCAGCACCTGGTGATTGGGCTCGAGGACGCTGCTGTGTTAGGGCAACACGGCCACTGCGCCACCGCGATCGCGTCGAGCGTCCACGTCATCTTTCATATCACCGTCACGGAGGGTATCTCGACCAACGCCGAGGACAACACCGCTAAGTGGCTTCTCCTGCGGATATATTTCTTTCAAGCGCACCACCTCACACAAGGTTCGCCCGGCAATGCCTTTTTATATCCACGCTGACCTCAGTCTACTTTCCAGACCACCGGCTCGCACACGTGTACGACCTGACCGACACCCGGGACGTATGGCAATTGCTCACGCTACAGTCCTTTGCAATTCTCTATCTTGCTCTTAATACCGCCCAATACGCACCATTCAAGGTAGGCCGCTGGGGCCACGCAATCCTGCTGCCTCAGGCGCGCTGCGCCGAGGTCGAAGCAGCATGGCGCGGCGCTGCACGGCTCACGGCCCACGTGAATGAGCACTACCGTTTCTCCACGACCGACCCCTGGTACAAGTCGTGGAGCGACGTGGTCGAGGCAAGTCGTCGGTTTTACCCCGCCGCCATCCGCCAGGAGCTTACACATATCTCTCTTTCCAGGCGGGGGTGGTACATATGGCTTGCTGCCTCACTCGGTACAAAGACGCGTGGGACCGGAAGTATGGCAAGCGAGGCCCCTTCACGGGTCAGGCCTTGCGTCAACAGCTGAGGCGTTGTCTCGCTGCTTACGAGCACCTCAAGGGTGACCCAGACCGCGAGCTGGCCGGCTTCATGACCAACAAGCCACTCACCAAGTTATTCGACCAAAAGCTTGCCTCAGCTGTCCCATTTTCTTACTTCCTCCCGTGGACGGAAGCAACCTTCCCGTGTACCATCTTACCCAACGACACCATGGACAATCTTTAATGTGTCTTCGCCTTTTGACTGGTCTGTTCTTACGGTATTTTCATGTGTAATATATACCATACGTAGTTGGCGGTACAGTACTCCCCCCAAACATTATCTTGTTTATTGACAATATGTACTATCGTCCAAAAAAAGTAACAAAGCCATGACACACCGCCATCTCTGTACTGAGAATTAACGGCTCTGTATGTGTCCTTTACTGCACATGTCCATCATGGATCTGGCG